GAACACACATAGGCCCTAATTCCAGTCAGGAAGTAAACAGGAGTCCTGTCTCAAGAATAAAGGCAAGAATCCAGGAGTATGTTTGGTCCCAACAACACAGTCCCTTTACATAACCACCTAAAGGGCCACCAAATTTCAGAGATGGAACAAACCTCAAAAGAGTCTGTGTTCAGACCCCAGATCCCAGAAAACAGCCCATGTGAATTGACTTTGGGTCCTGTCTGAAACGGTCTTAAAACCACGTAGGATAAGAGCACATCCAAAGCAAAAAAAAGAATGAGTATAAAGAACCCTGACTCAGGAAGAAATTAATCCTGGTGATTTCACAGGCCAATCCATGGCTGAATTCCAATGCATTAATTTTACATAGCAATGACCTTCTATATCACAAATCCCACAGAATTCTCCACTGGGCAGTGGTGTGGTATGAGAGAGGAGTGCGGACCTTCTCTGCTCTCTGTCTTCAGACCACCAAAGGCTCTGTACATCTGCTTTTCTCCTCATCCTGATAAAGACCATTGGGACAATCAGAGGCACGTCCTGGAAACATGCGGCAAGGTCCCTGGCACACAGTGGGCAGTCAGGAAGTGGTATTGCGATTACTACTTCTACTTTCTCCTCCATAGGTTTTCAAGAGAAGAAACTGAATTCACAGCAGATGGCCACAAACTGATTTCTCCCTGAAAACCACAAGCAGGTGAATCACCAACAGCCTGGGAAAGGTTCTGCCAGGGAGGAACTAACCAAATTAACCACAATTATATTCCACTGGCATCTGATGGAAAATGAGAAAAGATAGTGACATGACACAGTTAAACCTTCTGTCAGACTTTCTTCTCGGATATCAGAACTCTTTGCCTGTGTTTGAGCTGGCCACTCTTGGGATTGCTCTTACCATCTCAAAATCATCCCTCCAAATCTTCTATTTCCATTCTACTTTGTCACTTTCCCACCCACTGCTACAGCCATTTACTATTTGCCAAGAGTCAGATGACCTGGGCAGCACTCCAAGTTATGCCTCACACACCAGACCGAGCCCTAATCGCACTGGGCCCCCATCATCTTCTCATTGTTTAAAAGAAATGCTCATATTTCATAGACTATACAGAGAATCTGTGGAAATTAAAATTACTGTATGTGGGTAATCTTAAATATACCTATTTAACATAAACATAGAAGCATTTAGAGGCACTAAATTTCACAGGTGTTTAGAGGTAATTTGGCCACTGGTTAAAGACTGAAGGAAATTCATTCCTAATCTAAAGGGAAAAAAGGAGAAGAAATATCTTGAAGACCTCAGCAGGTGATCTGCCCCTCACTCAAACCCACCCATTCCAAGCCACCGCAATACAAACATACACAGCAATTTCCCCCAAACACCCGCAGTAAAACTCCACGTAAAATGCAGCAGTTTAAAGTGAATCTTTTATAAAGAAACAGTCTAATGAAGCAGATTCACAGGTGTCTAGACATCGTAGGTTCAAAGCTTTATCAGCCACTGGCCCACACATAAGTGCTCAGTCATAGGGGGACAGCTTCTTCGATGAGGGGCGTGGGGATTCCCCAGTGGGACAATGCCCTTTAAGCAAAGAAAAGAAAATTTTACTAGAAACCCAAAGAACAAAATAAAAATTAAAATCAAGGCTCCAAATCATGGGGTTGAATACAATGAAAAAGCAATATTATGGCTGCCAGCTTTTTCTACTCGGCTAGCAGAGTGAGCATCTGGGCCTGGTTTCAATAGCAGCTTTGTAGCCCAGATGGCCAGCACCACCATTCTAGGGCTCCCTGCCCTAGAAGCCCGAGCGTATGTGCAAGCTTCACCTTGAACTTGAAGCCCCAGTCCTCATGTTATTAGTAGAACCAACAACCATAATTTTCAATTCATGAGTCCAGTAAATTGGACTTTACCTTCTGTGATTCTTCCTTAAGATGCCCCAACCTAGCTTTCTAAAACTCGCGTCTAAAAGTGCAAAAAGATTACTCTCTTATTCCTATGCATTAGTCAGAGAATCACTGTGCACATTCCTGCCCAAATATACACACACATTCTAACAAAGATCCCCTCCTCCCCAATATTCCCCTTTACATCCGCTCCCTAGGGATGCACCACGGCTATGGGTTCTCTCCTTCCCCCTTTTCTCTCATGCACTCACACAGATTTGGACACTTGCTAACAGTCACCCACACTAGGTGGGAAGATACACAGAATGCCTGTGGCCTGGGCAGTATGTGACTAGGGAGAGGCTGGGGAGGGAGGGAGGGAGGGAGGAGTTCCTAGGAATGGAAACTGAGGACACCGGTGGGAGAGACATGAGGGAGGAGCTAAGCAGGTAGACCAACCAGAGAAACTCCCACATAATAATTTCTGGGAAATGCTCTGATTTTGTAAACAAGCCAATATTCACTTTTATAGTTTTTCATAACACAGGCTAAGGAAGGGTAAAATTCTGGTGGACTAATATTAAATAGGGACATAGCAGATTGGCCTCAGCAGTAGAGTGGGGAAGACACTGGACAAAAATCAGGAGACATAATTCTGGTCCCAGGGATGTCTCGAGTTCACTGGGCCACCGTGGGCCTCACCTCACTTCACTAGAACATGACTTCCTCAACTATCACACCAGGGGCACATCAGGCACCTTCTGAAGGCCCTGTCCTAGTGCTAACGTCTGAGGCCCTGGGAAGCCAGACAGCACTCATTCATTCCATCTTCTCCTTTTAAGAAATGTACCATATAATTTTATTTTATGTAAGTATCAGCAGAATATTTTTACAGGATGCAATGTGCCATTTAGGACTGGATTAGAAGACAGAAGAGAGGTAAACAAGTTTTATAGGAAGGAAACAACTGATTCCCCCCCCCCAACAAAACAAAAGTTTAAAAGTGCTCCCACTGGCACTCTTGAGTGCTCTCTCTCCTCTCCCTGCTCTTCCCCTTGTCCCAGATCCCTGGATAAGTAATGATAAGATGTCAGGGATCAGAGGTCCAGGTGGTATATAATACCAGAAAGACAACAGGCCTTAGAGTTAAGTATTCATTAGCTAGTTAATATTTCCTCACGTATTCATTAGCTAGTTAAAATTTCCAAATTACTTAACCATCCTTGGTGTGTTTCCTCATTTATAAATTGAGTATAAAGGATCAAATTACAGAGTGGTGATTAGACTAAATCACACAATATTTTAGCAAAATGCCTGTACAAAGCATCCAACTATCAGTTACAATCCCTTCTTTACACACTAAGCCTTAATCTGAAAACCATTACACACACATACTCCATACACACAAACTCATAAAACCGTGCTCACCAGCTGGGACTGACAAGGCATGGGTTGGGGTTGTAGCTCTTTGGTGCTTTATCAACTGATAAATATCATTAATTGATCCATATCAATAACTGATCATTTATCAATTCTATTAACTCTATCTATGGCTAGTAATGGACTTTCTTTTGCCCTCCCCTAGACTCTACCACTGGAGTTACCACTACTTAACCAGACTCTGTCAATGTGCCCTTTTCCATTTATTCTAGTTACTCTTCAATACCTCCCGGGAGGAATCCTATGCTCACATCTATTTACTAGATGATAGGGCGGGGTGCAGGGAATATAATCAGTTACAAAGTATCTGTCTTTATCTAGCATTATGGGTTACTTTGGTCAAAAAAAAGACCAATATTTTTCAAACTATTAATATCTGACCAAATGTGAGTCAACCAGCACGTGTGATGAGCGTATAAAAATAAAATAAATACCAGTATGCATTACATGTAGAAGGAGCCAGCACTATTTCATGAAACTTTTGTTTCAGTTACATACATACTGTATGTATGTGGGCACATTGGTTTCATAAAAAATTAAGTCACAGTCAAAAATGTCTGAAAGCCATTGGCATGGGGCAAAGGAACAGGCCGGAGTCAGAAAGGCCTGAGTTCAACTCCCCATAACTTCTGTGGCTGTGAAAGGAGCTTCAACTCAGCTCAGTGAAACCATGTTTCCTGGGTCTTGCCAGCTGAGAATCCTTGACCAAAGTTCCATTACCCCGCCTGGAAACCATCTTCTGCCACAAGGGAATCCCCTCTCCAGATCTAACCTTTTTCCTCCCGCTCCCCACTGGAGATGCGGATGACAGACACACCTGGGTTCTTAAGCCCTGGAACCCCGACTCCAGCTAGGAACACCCCCTCCTCCAACACTCAGCAGCAGGGATTTACACGCCCCTCAGCGACCCGCTGAGGATGTTCATTCTGTCACTTTTTATCCCTCACAGAATCTCCAACTATTAAAATGCACACCTCTTTACCGGGTAGTCGGGCTAAAGGTCATGTGAAATGCGCCTTTCCTTCTCCAAACATCCCAGAAAGAGAACCGACTCGAGGCAGCTTCTCCTCTAACTGGCCTTCAACCGAACCCCTCAGCCCCGTCGCCCTCGGCTCCCGGCATTAACTCCTCAAAATAATGCCGTCAGAGAAAGTGAACTCGGCGGCCAGGAAAGTTACCCAGGTGGGAGCGACCGACCGGGAGCGAGGGCGGGCAAGCGGGGACGGGGAAACTCCGGGCGTTCACCTGGGGGGCCTTCCTCCTCTCAGCGTGGAAAACCTTCCAGCGGAGCAAGAAAAGAAAACAAAAGCGGACTTGGCCACACACCCGACCCTCCGTCGCGGGAGCAGCGCAAACCCGACCGTGGGGAGGGGGCGCGGACCCGGGAGCTGAGGGAAGCGGCGGGACGCAGAGGAGAGGAGGGTCGAAGGTGCCGGAACAAAGCCCGCAGGCAGCTCCGAGGGAGGGGGCTGAGGACGCGCCGCACCCCCCCCCCCGCCCTTCCCGGAGCCCGGGGGGCCAGGGCCCGGCGGGGAGCGGGCGCAGGAGCGGGGTGCCGGAGAAGGGTGCGGATGCGCGCGCAGCGAGCCCCTCCCCCGCGCCCCGGAGTCGGGGGTCGGCCTGTCCCACCCCCCGCTCCCCTCACCCCCATCTCCCGGCCCCGGAGCCGCTCTCACCAGAGCGGGGGTCGAAGGTGACCACGAACACTGCCACCACCTGGTCCTCCTCCACGTCGCCCAGCTCCAGGCGCCCGGGCTGTAGCAGCACCTCGGAGGGAGCCGGCTCCTCAGGTTCCCGCCTCCTGCGCGGCTCCGCGACCGCCCGGGCGCCCCGGCCGCCACCCCGGCCGCGTCCTCCCGCCTGCGGCTGCGGGGCCTGCGGCAGGGAGACCGCGGGGCCCTCGGCCCAGCGCAGCAGCGGCGCCGCGTCTCCCTGCTCCACCATGGCGAAGCGAGGAGGAGCCGCGGGCGGGCGCGAGCGGCGGGGCGGGGCGGGCTGCGGGAACTCCCCTCGCCCGGCCGCGCCCACCGGCCGCCCGGGCCCGCACCGCCCGGAGGCCCACCTGCAGCTGCGCCCGGCCCCGCTCCCACGGCGCTCCAGCGGGCGCCTTTCCCACCCAGCCGGAGACAGCGGCCGCGGAACAGGCTTCGGGAACCGCGCGCCTGTTTGCAGACCTCACGTGTGCATCTGCGTGCGTGGGAATGTGTGGTGCCAGGACGCGCGTCCCTGACTCCGTCTACCTGTGCGTGGGCTGAGGTGCCTTCTCACCTAGGGTTCCGTGGTGTAACTGTCCCACTGTGTTTATGTTACCATTATTGTTTTACTGTCCCCTAGTCCTATGACATATGCATTACATAATCCTGAATGTGTGGCAAAAGCTGCTTCTAAGCAGCGAGTGAAGCAGAGGAGCCCTGGTTCCCCAGGTGTTTGGAATATGTACATAAATGAAGAGTGAAAAGGCCTCAGGGTCAGGGTGGAAATGTTACTTTTCTGTTTCCATGACAGACTGAGAGGAAAATTATGAGTTTATTTCCTGGTATATATACAGCTTGAGGGTATTAAATTAGGAAGTGCTGGTGTGATTGAGGAGGAGCGATATTCCCACAAAAGATCAGGAAAAGGAAGTCCCTCAGGGGAGAAAGGAAAGTAAGCACTAAAGCTGATGGCTCTGGAAATCGATTAGGGGTTTTCTATGACTCCCTGATTTTATATTTTAAAATATTTAAAAACAAAATTTTGAATGTCTCAATCCTTGAGGTAAATTGGATAGCTAAGTAACTTTAGGGAAGGTTTGTATAAGAAATAGGAATAGCTATTAAATTAAGAAAGAATGAGGTGACAAGAGAGTTGTTCAGATACACAATTCATCCAAGGTTCAGGAAGGCCCCACAGTTTGTTCTTAGAAAGACCCGATGAATTTATGTGTTAGGTGTTACTTCAGGGGATGGTTATGAAGGTCCATGTGCTACATGCTGGACAATATGATTTAACCCCATCCAATGAGATAATCAATGGTTGCTCAAGGCTGCTGCTTTGAGTCTGAAATCTGTGATATCACAACAAAGAATGTATTTATGCAGCATTTTACCCTAAAGAATAGGGACTGTTTTCATCATGTATATATTTACTTTAACCTCTCCCAGACCTTCCAAAGGCCAGTAAGTTACCACCCAACACTTTCTCCCTGGAGTGTGTAGACAGTCATGAGATGGGTGGGGAGCCCCAGGCACCATCTAGCCAGGGCCAAGGCCAGGGCCAGGGCACTGTCCAACTCATTCAAGGCACACCAGACTGTGTTATATTCAAAGGACTCCAGGCTGGATACCAAATCCCACTACTTCAGAAGACCAGAGCACAACCAAAGCTTCTGAGATTCAGGCATTCAAAATTTTATTTGTAAATATAAAATGGAGGTTCCTAGAAAATCCTTAACGAATTAACAAAGCCATCAGCTTTAGGGCTGATGGACTTGTCTTTCTCCTCAAAGGGATTTCCTTTTTCTGATCTCTTGTGGGAATACCCACCCCCCACACCCAGCTCCTCCTAGTTTAATACCCACACACTCTATATATACCAGGAAGTAAACCCATAATTCTCCTCCCAGTTTGCCATATAAATAGAAGAGCTAAATTTCCAAACCCTAGTCTTCATTTATGTGTGCATACTAGGTTGTCAGCCTCGATCTCTATCTTTATATTCCCAGCACTTTGAGTAGTAGGTGCTCAACAAATATTTATCAACTAAATAAATGAATGAAAGTAGAGACTTAACTTCTGTACAACAGGCCTTCTTTATCAGGCTTTATCTAGTATCTTGCACATAGTAGGTGCTAAAAATTAATGAGGGTGATGACATCCTTCTTCACCCACACATTCAGTTTGATGAAGGTGCTATACCTAACCAGGGTAATCTTTCCTGTGAATACAGATTTTCACAAGATGATCTAAGGGTACTCATTGAATTTAGCTATTACAACAGCTTTGCTGGGGAACAAGTGTGGCGGACAAGAAGGTGGGAAGAAAAAGTCATTATTCAGAGACCCTAGGTTGATATAATATTTCAAAATGAGTTTACCTAGATTACTATATGTCTATTTTACTTCCCCAAATACTGAATATGTCTACATTATATCAAATACAAAAAGAATTTGTGATCTATAATCTCACCACTGAGTTGGACACTATTTAGATTTTGCTTATCCTATTTCACCCATTCTGGGATGCAAAATTTTTTGACTTTTTAACATTGCTGTGCTGACTCACAATTGCTACTGGTCCCACTGAGGTCTAGTTCTCAAAGAGATTTTTATTTGCTTTTCTCACCCATCTGAAAGCACCACCAAACTGAGACTGCATTTGAGTTAAATTCTCTACTGAGATTCTTTTGACCACATTGGGAGTGTGAATTTAAAATGCAAACTAGCTTCAGCATTGGCATGTAGTTCAGTTCTCAGGGAAGGTTTCTTTTTCTCCTTCCACCCTAGTGACAAGGTTGAGGCAAGAAAGTTTCTTTGCCTGGCCCTCTTTGTGTAAGAGTTTTATTTGCTATAGTTTTATATGGGGATTCCTATTAGACTCCTCATCTTGGGCATTTTTTGAGTGAAATGTAAATATAACAGTATAGTTGGTAGTCTGTATTCACAGGTTCTGCATCCATAGATTCAACCAATCACAGGTTAAAATATTTGATAAAAATTTTCTAGAAAATGTTACACTGTTGCTGACATGTACTATGTAGTTAGGCCTACAATGGTTAAGTCTATACTGAACGTGTACAGACTTTTTTCTTGTCATTATTCCATAAACAATACAGTATAACACCTATTTACATAGCATTTACATTGTATTAGGTATTATAAGTAATCTGGGGATGATTTAAAGTATACTGGAGGATGTGCATAGATTATATGCAAATACCACACCATTTTATATCAGGCACTTGAGCATCCACAAATTTTGGTGTCCATGGGGGTCCTGAAACCAATCCCCTGCAGATACCAAGGATGATTGTATACCTTAACATAGATTAGATGTTTCTCTTTTCAATGTTTACATATTGAAATTATACTCCATATCAATTCTGTGTTCTTTTTTCCATTAACATCAGAACATGAACATTTTGCCATCCTATTAGCAACTTTTTATATGCCTTTCTTATGGTTTCTGTTGTATGTATGTTTGATAATCTACACTTAACCATCTCTCATTGTTGGATCGTGAAGCCTTTCTCTTTTTTGTTGTGCCTAAAGTTTTGACCAAATTTCATTCTTACTAAGCCCTATGATACTCAGCCCTGCACATGGCACTGGGACAGTCGGGAAGAAGACAGAGACGTCCCTTCTCATCAAGCTCACAGCCTAGTAGGGAAGGCAGCTGTTAGCCAAGAAATGACATATAGAATGAGAGGTGACAGGCAGAGCAAATGCTGTCAGCCATGCATGCTGCTGACTTGTGATAGATTGCTAGAGGTGGCAATACTGGGTTAAAGTGCCACATATTTTTAAGATTCTCTTGATTTTGCTGCCAAAAGTACATATCAATATCAATTTCATTTCACCCTTGTCTAAATTAGGTATTGCCACTTAAAATTATTTTTGCCAGTTTGCCAGATGAAAATAGCATTTTGTTTTATGTTTATGTTTTGTAATTGAATCTAATCATGTTTTCAGAATATATGCTGGAAATTTGTGGTTCCTCTTCAGTGCACTGTCCATGATGCCTTTTGCTTACCTGTCCTCTGGGGGCTTAATGCTCTTATTATGAATTTGCATGTGTTCTTTATCCATAAGCATATTAATCTTTCGTCTGGGACAATACTTGTTAATATTATTCCCAATTTATTGTATGTTTTCAATGCCATTATTTGCAACATAAATTTTATGTAGTCAAACCTATCCATTCTTTTTGTGACATTTTTATGTTGCTTTGATATTTAGAAAGTTGGTCCTCACCCAGAAATTTAGTCAATGGTTATTTTCTTCTGGTTATTTATAAATTGCTTTTCCACATTTGATTTCTAATCTATTCAATGATTACATTGATATGTGGTATAAAGTGAGACTCTCAAAATTGTTCATTGAATAGTTAATAATTGCTACACCACTTATTGAATCATTCTTTCACTTCCTATGATTGTAATTCTCCTTTAAAGTACAATATTAAATTAGTGGTATTTACCAATCTATGTATCCTTTGCCAATGACCTGTTTATTCTTATACCAGTACCACTAATTTTTTTACATATATTTTATTTATTATTTTTTGAGAGATAGGCCCTTACTCTGTCATACAGGCTAGACTACAGTGGCACGATCATAGCTCACTACATTCTCCAACTCCTAGGTTCAAATGATCCTCCTGGCTCAGCCTCCTAAGTAGCTAAGACTACAGGTATGTACCACCACAGTTGGCTGATTTGTTTTATTTTATTTTACTTTTCTGTAGAAATGGGTTTTTCTATGTTGCCCAGGTTAGTCTTGAACCTTTGACCGCAAGTGATCCTTCTATCTCAGCCTCCCAAAGTACTGGAATTACAGGTGTGAGCCACCAGCCTATACATATATTTTAAATTTTTATTTCTAGGAAAGGTAGTCTTCTCTCTTTACTCTCTTTAAAAAAAAATCTTCAGCTATTCTTTTTATTAGACTATTATTATTAGACTATTATTTTTCCATCTGAACTTTAAAGCATTTTATCTAATTTCAAACAAATGTGAGATTTTAAAATTCAAATTGTATGAGAAACATATATTTACTGGAAATTAAGAATGGGAATGGATGAGATGAAGAAAATCTTCCTAGTGGCCTAAGGAATAGCTCTGTCCTTATCTATCCTGTGGACTGAAGTTCCACAGTCAGATACTGAGAGGACCCAAAGCCCAGGGCATCCAGAGATATCCTGGGGTAACTGACTGTGGTACTTCAGGTATCATACTCCCTCCTAACA